GTAAGTTTGTAAGTTTAATTGAATGTCTGCACAGTGGTATGCGAGCGAGGGTGCAGCTGAGTGGCGAGACCTCGGATGACTTTGCAGTTGTCTCTGGTGTGAAACAAGGCTGTGTCTTAGCTCCTGCCCTGTTTAATATATATCTTCATGCAATGTTGTCTTGTGCTTTTGATGCGGCTTATGCTTACGATGTTCGTGTGGAGCACCGTATTGATGGTGGGTTGCTGAACATCCGTCGTTTCGGTGCGAGAACTCTAGTCTGTGAGACAACTATCCGTACGTTGCTGTTTGCTGACGACTGTGCGTTGTTTTCACACAGCGTGGATGAGTTGCAGCACATGACTAGTGCTCTGGCTTCGACAGCGGCCAAATTCGGGCTCACCATCAACACGAGCAAAACTGTCTGTCTCTTTCAGCCTTCACCGGAAGTGCAATCTTCAATATTGCCGCGAATCAGCATTGGTGCTGAAGTATTGGAAACCACCTCCCGCTTTTGCTACCTTGGGAGTTTGATGTCGACTGCTCAGCCGCTACACAGTGAGCTGCGTAATCGCGTGTCGAAGGCGGCAGCGGCATTCGGGAAGCTTGAGTACCGAGTGTGGAACAACCATCAGCTTAGCAGTGGCACGAAGCTGATGGTGTACAAATCCATGGTACTGTCCGTTCTTCTATACGGCAGTGAAACGTGGACGATGTACCGTCGGGATGTGCGATATCTCGAGCGGTTCCATCAGCAGTGTCTGCGACGAATTTTGCGGATCGGCTGGGGCGCCAGAGTTGCAGACACGGAAGTGTTGCGCCGAAGTTGGATATATGCAGTGGACGGCATACTTTTACTGCGACACCTGAGATGGCTCGGTCATGTGAGCCGTATGGATTCGACGCGAATACCGAAACAACTTTTATACGGTCAGCTGAGTATAGGGAAGCGGCACGTGGGGAAACCAAAGTTACGTTACCAGGACATGATTAAAGTGAGCCTCACAAGTTCTAAGCTTGATTGCAGATCATGGGAATCGAAGGCGGTTGATCGTGGTTCATGGCGCGATTTAATCACGAAGGCAGTTGCTGAGGTGCGGGAGAAAGCCCTCATGCATGCAGAGAAGAAGCGGCAAGTGCGGAATCGGCAAGGACCGATGAATTGTACTCCATCGACATCGAGCGCATTGTGCTGTAGAACATGCGGTCGCGAGTGCCTTAGTCAGGCAGGCTTAGTGAGCCATGAGAGAGGTCACTCGGGACCACTGCCGAAGCGACGACGGGTCCCGCAGTGAACGTAGGCAGCACCGGCGCAGCGTTTGTAGGCACGCTGAATTCGATTTACTAACCGCGTGCTTGCATGCTGTCTCTCTATTTCAGGTGGTGGGTTTTCGGTTCTCTCCTAATGCCTTTCTTTCTCATATAAATGTCTAGTGGGCAATGAGCTGTGCCATTTGGGGCCACTACAGAAGTGACGACGGGTCCTGCAGAGAATTACGACGAGCTGGCGCAGCGTTTGTAGCCACGCTGAATTCGATTTACTAACCGCGTGCTTGCATGCTAAGTATCTTTATTTCAGGTGGTGGGTTTACAGTTTTTACCTTAATGCTTTTCTTTCTCATATAAATATCTCCCTGTACCCTATTCCATTAACTTGCGCACATCACTTCAGCCAATTGTATTCGATTTCCATAACATTTTTGTGTTCGTGGCATTCCGTGAACTATACTTCCTGACCTCGTGCACTTAGCTAGGATTTGTTTGTAAACAACTTATTACGTATGCTACTTAATTAAGGTTTGCGTCACCGTTTCCTTATGCATTAATCGAGTTTTTCTCTTTTTCTCTCTCTCAAGTGTTTGGCTGTTGTTTGATATCCTTGATGTGGCTGCGCTTGATGTGAATGTTGACAAGGTGCCTACCTGTCTATTATCCACTACCTCGTCCATACTGGCTCCAGGAGACAGTTGGTCGTTGCTGGAGGGGACGGAGTGCACGGTCCTTGTGGCCGTGTTAGGCTCAAAGAGTGGTTCCATGCACTCAGTATGGAGCGGACTACGGTCCAGGCACCGCCTTGTGTGCGCTTGATTCCCCAAATACAGTGTGTTTGTGTTTGCCTGTGAAGGAGTGTGGGCCGGCTCCGTTGATGAAACGTGGTTCCCATCCGCATGCCTCCCGGTCTTATTCCTTCGGGTTTACACTGGATATGGGGTGTGTGGTTGGAGCTGTGGGTGGTGCAGCGCAAGCCATCCATGGTCCCTCTGTAGGCGCATTCGTCCTGTGGCTTGCCACAGTGACAGGCAAATCCGAAACCGGATGTCGCCAACCATACTGCTCTCCCTGGATTGTTTCGCAACTGAACGTGCAGGTATATGAGCACCGTATTACATGAATTTTCATTTAGAAATGTAGCACAAAACTGACCAAACACCTATAATATCAACGACCAGGACAATGGTCAGTGCAACCGGAGGCTTGAATTAGAGTTTTCGGCTGTAATCGATTTCAAAGGAAGTCTTTAAATTCACCTTGCTAACATTCCTTATGAGGCTTTGGTTCAGGTGAAAATAGCCGACTTCGATTTCAGCATCTTCAAAAGGATGGTGATGGAAGTGGGAACATTAACTCGGCCTGCTGACACACAGTGGGTCTCAGCCGCCCATTCGTTGTGACCTCGACTAACTGTAGTAAGTGAGCGATGTTTAGTCTATGTAGTTCTGTGAGTGGTTTTTTAACACTGCGCAGTACGGTGCCTTCCCAGCGGTCGAACTAACGAGCACCTTAGGTGTGAATGCAATACTTGTCACAATTTGCTACTTTTGAAGGCATAGACCAAACATTGGATCTTGTAAATGCCACTAGTAGATAATATAGGCACTTGTGATATTGGGACCAGATTGCTAATATGTGTTTATTTTTAGTGTGCGCAATTTTCCGTGTCCGCTTTTATGCCTGTGCGCTTTTTGCTGTCCGCAACTTTCGTGTGCGCTTTCTTCTGGTCACCATATGAAATACGAAAACAACCATTTCTTTTTTTCTACTATTGTTTGAGTGTACAGATGGAATTTTAGATATTCCACTCGATGAACTCATCCCAAAATGGTTACGCTGGCAGTTGCGATTTGTGATGGCGGAATCGAGTGAATTCGGACATTGAACTAGGTTTATTGTGCGATGACATTGGCTGATCACCAGCCACCGAGCCATTCACAACCGGTGGTCCCACATTCTTAGGCTACTGGAAATAATTGTTACCGATCTAGAGTGGCCATCGTTGTGTGTACAGAAACAGCTGATTTTGACACCAAATCTATCTACAGCGCCACAGTGGGGATCGTTCTCTTCCACGTCATTGAAACGTAATCCTTCCGGTTTGTTGGTATCATGCACCTTGATTCATTTAACCGACGTTGTTTTCGGGGCAATACTGGTGTAGGATGGCACTACCATGTCTACAACGATGAAGTATTTTGGCGGTTACTGGGCGGTAACGGTCAGGTTAGTTCGTTAGACCAAGTAATAAGACTGCATAAGCTCTCCAACCCGCTTACGCAGGCAACGATCTGTTCTGCCAATATAACTGCTTCCATTGCTACAGACGAATTGGCAAATGCAGTGGGTTGTGTTTGAGCCCGGTTGAGTAACTTTGCTTGGGGGCATCGGCAGCTTTTTTGGTTGCCTTCATAGGACAGAGTTTGACGGCGTTGAATGTACGGCGAATAGCTGTGTACACCCGTCGTCCAACGCTGCTAAACTCTGTCCTATATGGATAACCAAAAAGCTACTGATGTTTCCAGTCAAACTTATTCGACGGGTCTCCGCCACAACTTATCTCATTTCCCAATTCGTCTGTAGCTGCGGAAGCAGTCACATTGGCAGAGCAGATCTTTGTTTGAGTAAGCGGCTTGGAGAGCATATTCCGAAGCGAATTGCTGTGCTGATGGCATAACAAGCCACCAGACAAGGAGCAGCAGGCAAGCTGCCATCATCATTTGTTGCTAGACACCTAATCAGTATAGGTCATCAAGTTGACCGTGGCTCAGCTTTAACGGTTATCTACCGCAAAGACAGTAAGTTGCGTTAGTTCGGGGAGGTATTACCCTGGTAGCACATTTCATGTTTATTTCAATTGTAACCTCCTACCTGTCCTTCAGCGAGGACAGAGCTGTCATTGGAACAACCCGTCCTTTTGAAGCGGTGTATAGGCATCTTTATTCCCACATTACAGTTGGAAGCGCCGTGGTTGGACCCCTAATCAGGTTTGCGTTGCCGCCCTTACTTCGCACTTCACTACTCTGTTTCCTTGAGCTACTGGCTAGCTGATTGCTTGTTGTGTATCTATGCTTACGGTGCTCAACAAACCATCAGTCTCAGTTGACCGATGTCAACGGCAATGCTGATGATCTCAGTCTACTGCGCGAAGACAACGGAAAGGTAAAGAATAAATACAGTGTAAAATCAGGGGATATGTCACAATATTAAGATGTAAAGTGATAAAGGTGTATCCTAGATGCTTTAAGTTTGCCGTCTTTCGGAATCCAGGTACAACGCGAAACGGCTGATTATGAATACGTTACGTGCAGCGCGACCGGCGGATTCAGAAACAAGACTAGCCTCATTGCTAGTCGAAAATGAATTACAGGGACATTGAAACAGGAAAATCAATTTGCCAAAATAATAAGTAGGCAATGATAGTGAAATGAATTTCCTTATGAATGTTGTGTACTATATGTTATGTTTCGTAAGGCATTACGGGATTGTTTCACGGGTTGTACGTCCACTCATCACTTATCAAATGTGATTCTGTTTGTCTTGTCTCGAGTCGCACTTAGCTGGAATAGGATAATCGTTAAGTAGACAACGAGAAATTAAGTCACTGAAGTGTAAAGCTGTTGGTGTTGATGGGATTGCAGCTTCTCAGGACACTTATAAACACCACCAGCGGCTTTTTCTCTGTCACCTCCTAGTTAGACTAATTGTGCAAATTTGTGACTTGATAAATGAAAGCAATATCACCTTACATGATAGTCAGTTGTTGTTCCTTACCGTGCATTGTTTACGCTGCATGTGGGCGCCTTCCTCCTGTTCTAAAGCATTCGGCTCCTGTGTCCCCCTCCACTATTTTTTTGCTGAATTCATGTCTCGCCATTTATGCTCGTATGACGGTGAGCACCATTGCAGAGCGCTGATCTGCTCTCACTGATGGGTATGTGTGGACTAAATTGAGTTTGTGTGTACACTAAGTACGCCGATTCGGAAGCATTCTATTTCTGACTATCGAAATTCCCCTTAGCAACCTCAGATAAAGAACCCGTCTGTGGGCACTCTTTGTGCACAGAACTACTTCCTGGCAAGCGACTTCTTCACTTGTATGCAGACGATATTGCCCTAATCCGTGACAGCTCCCAAACATGCCAAGCAGCACTGGACCGATTAGCACTGGCTGTCTATCGTTTTGGGCTATGCTTTGCTCTCTCGAAACGCAGTCTTTGTCCAGAATTGGCAGGGTATCATCCCTGCACTGGCGCTTGGTGGTAATCAGTTAAAAGTCGTTCAGGAATTCAAGTACTTGGCAGCTATATTAGCGCCCGTGGGATCGAAGGTGAGATTACCAACTGTAAATCAAAAGCTCGAGGTGCTTTTGCTCGTCTTCGCCACCTGTGGCGTCGACGCGATCTCACTCTGGACCTGAAGGGCATAGTTTATAATGCAACCGTCCGTTCAACCCTCCTTTACGGTTGTGAGCATGTTCGGTGTCTCGTATAGGGTGCAGGAAGAGCGAGTGAACCGCTCAGCACCGTTAGTTTACGCACCAGGCTCCGATGGCTAGGCCGCGTGTTGCACATGCCAGCGTACCGGCTCTCGCATCGTGCGTTGTTTACACGCCCGGGATCTGGATGGAAAGAAAGAACGTGAGGCTAAGCAGCGATTTGGTCTAGAAGAATAAAGTCCCTCACTTCGAACTTGGCGTCGGTTGGTGTTCCCCGGCTGCCGATTAGCACGTTTGGTTGGATATACTAGCTGACATGGCGAGGAGCCAACCTCATTGGCGTTTGTGTTGTGGGTTTCTTTATTCTTCTCCTTCTCCTTTAGCTTTCCCCTCCCGTCACGTTCTCAACAAATGAACAATAGGATATTTAACATATTTTGTTTTTTTTGTATTTTTCGTAATTTTAATGTCTAACCTTTTTGTATTGCGGCACGTTAGCTAAGGTGTGTTTCTCACCCCTCAGTTCACATATTTTACTGGTAATGATGATGATTGCTGGTTGGAAGCAGCAAGTAGAGTTTGCTCTGTGTAATTGCATCTAATGTCACTCAGGGACAAAGACCCGTTATGTTGTGTTGCGCTCAATATATTTTGCGTCGGCAGTGTTTGTCCAAGAACACGGATTTAGACACCAACTTTGCCTCAACTACGTGTTGCGGCAAGCCATTTCATACATTCACCATTCTGCGTTCGAAATAGAGTTGCGGAGCAACCCGCTTCAAATCCGGTACGACAAGCTTGTGCCGGTATCCTCGTGTGCTGCTTGGTGTGCGCAGATAAAACTGCGATCTCAACATTGGGTAATCTCCCAGATGTAATATCCGGTGCTTTATGATAAGGTCAACTCTCATTCGACGATAAGCTAGGGTGTACAGCCCTAGTTGCTTACACCGGTCTTCATACGGTACACCTAGTAAGTTGAAAATCAGCCTGGTGGCTACATGCTGCACTCGCTCAATCTTTTCTACCTCGCCCCTGGTGATAGGACAATACGCGGGAGAGCTATACGTTAGTATTGGTCGTATTATTGAGACGAAGCGGCGAGTGACAATCTCTTCGGACCAAGTGCTGAAGCTGCGCCTGAGCGCCCAAAGCATCATGATGCTGCTGCTGATGATGATGAACACAGAATGGCTTGATGCATGTCTTATCCACTTGCCTTCATCTGATTGCGCATTACCCCAACTATTTGTTGGCACTAGTGATGCGCAAAGTGCCAGTCACATTTGCACGAAGTTGTCGCATCTGGGGATTTATTTATTTATTTTGCTCATTTTTGTTCTTTTTAGGGCATCTTGACGTACTTCTGCTACACAGCTTACCAGAGAGTACGTTTACTAATTGCCGACTCGGAAATCACATCAAACCCTGCGTACAATTTCGGTGGTCCTCCTGACTCTGGCGTGACTGCATATCACGGATTCGCCCGTGATGCGGATTTGCTTGACATCTCGAAACCGGCGCAGCTGGATACAAGCCCACCTTCCTTTGGTGGTTCGCCCCGTTTTGGCGGTGGCGGCGTGCTTACACGCAATCCGGTGGAGGCATATCAACCCTAATTCAGGATGCACCATTCTCCCCTATTGTGAACCAGTCAGCTGTACTGTATTCCACAAGTCACTCGTCCCCCACGTACTGGACGAATCTGACTAAGCCACTATAGTCGAATCCTATTGTTATTATTATTCCAGACACACGATTTGTGATACAGCGCCCTATTGATTTTTGTGCTCGTTTCTTGTCTGTCTGCTCCTTTTTCTGTCGTGTATCTATATTGCATAACATTTTCGGTTCACACTATCGACTGTAACTTCTGTTCGTCTTGCAAGGTGAGGCCTTGTATACAAAACTGCAGCTCCCTTCCTACTCAATCCGACCTACATGTCACGAATCGTTTTGGCTGTAGAAGGACCATCATTTCACCTTTCTGACAATCATCATGGCATTACTCCTCCTCCGTTTCGCCAACGTAACGATGTAAAAGTGTCCGTAACCAACTTTTGCTGCGCACTTCTCTGTTTGGTGTTTGTGCTCATAAAATACAATCTAACACTGCACTCTTTTAGGAATGTTGGGGCAATGGGCAGAAGCGCTTAGAGATAGGTCGCAGAATCAGGAGAGACTTTCGAAGGGATGACCGGTGAATACGAATTGCCTGTAGGTCCGTAGCCTAAAGGTAACAACCTTGTCTTGAAATCTGACGGCGCATGTTCGAGTCTGCCTAGGGGCAGGGCGACCTTCGCAGTATCTTGAGCCCATGTGCGACCGGTGGTGGTTGCGCAGCAGCGAAACGTCTGTACTGCGTACCGGCGTACTGTTGCTGCTTTCTTTTCTTTTTCTACCACTGTAGTCTTGGAGTAGTGCTCTAGAACCTGATGATAGATTCATCGATTGTAGGTGGATTTGGATAGTGCCAAGGCGCTCAGAACTAGCAGGAGAACCATTAGGGTCTTCAAACAAAGCTTTTGACTGAAAAGCCTGACCGCAAGGTGACGGAAAGATGGCAACGAACTGATTTTACAGCAATGGATGCCGTCGCATTTCCAACACGTAACCTCGAGGACCAGGAGACCACATTCGTATGACCTCTTACCATTGACCAATCTGGTAAGAGTAGCTCCAAAGGGTCTCGAACATCCCGACACTGAGCTCACGGTGTCGAGGATGTACGCAGGCTGCCGTATCACGTTAAGGTCCAGTCTCGTCGCGAACGACTGGAAATGACGTCACTGACTACAGAACTGGTGCTGTTGGTGTCTCTCGCCTTCCAGGCTGGAGTCCACGTGGCCCTCCTTGAGCTTGGCTCAAAATGTTGCAGGACATGCCTAGCATTTGACACCAGTGGCGAATTTACAGCCGTCTCTTAGTCAGAATGCCTCTTTAATTTGTGTTTTGTGCAGGTTAATGGCTGATTTGACGCGGGGCAGTGAAAGCCACAAGAAAGCTCTCTCGTCAATACTACCTTATCTTTGCCCGATAGCGTTCTGTTTGTGACGGTATTTTTGACAAGGTGTGGGCGCGTAGTCACTCAATGTTTGCTTAGTACATTTAGGCTTTACGCCACTTTCTCCTTCTCTCCCTCATATTGTTCTTCATTTCGTAGATCTTTGTGGTTGTATGGGTGCGACGCATCACTTCAAATGGCTGATGTTTGTGATGACGGTGTTGTAGTGGTGCCTTCTAAATTCATTTCTTCGCAACTACTGACACATCCTCCTAAGAGGTGACAGATGCACCCACGTCAGCACTTTTGGTGATGTCTGTGATTAACGCAGGGAGGATTCATTCTTTGACGTTAGTCTAGGTCTGCTGATCCATTTATGCGACCAATAGATCGAATTTGCACTCGCTATTTACATGCTAATGCATGCTGCCTTTGGCGATGGTAATCTTTGCGCACTTTGCTTAACAACCCAGATCAGAGCAAGCATACAATTGGTGTTAAAAGATGTTCCTTTGCAGCAGATATCTACGCATCAACTGACCACAGTTCTGATAAGGTGAGACTGCGGGGTCATCGGTTTGCCAGTTCAATCGATCATCGACACAAAAGCGTTTGCCGTGCATTCTGAGCACTGAATGATGCACATGTTAGTGCGTCCTAATTGACATCTGAGAGTTCTCACGTGGTGCATGACGATAAATGGATCTCAGTGAAACGCACCGACTTATAGTATGCAACGAAAAGTGTTGGCAGTCGATTAGGGTCCCAACTTAAAAATCATTGAATCGGTTATGGTGGCGGAATGGTGATCGATGAAGTGGAACAGGCCGTTGGTCCAAGTCGCCTTTATTACTGGACGCCAGATAACGTACACAGCAAGTTTATCCCATTATGGCACACAACCAATGTCAGCAGTTCTTTCACTCAGGAGCTTGGTGGGGTAATTTATCTGTGGAGTGAGCCTAACTGGTCCGGTTATACATGGCTGTTCGTCACTCTGTCGTCGTCACCATTCTCCCCTTGAACAGTCAATTCCGATAGTTTTTAAATCACTGCCGCGCACGTGTGGACTACGCCATTCAGTCCCGGCAACTCTGGCACAATCTCAATGTACTCGAGAGTCCACAGCGAAGCGCAACTAAGAATATCCAGGCCTTGTTCTATCGACTATACAAACTGCAACTGAAAGCTTTACAAATGTACAGTGTGAGGTATCGTCATCTGCGAGGTGACTGATCATACTTTGAAAAATCTCAGTCACTTTTGCCGTAACCTGAAGCTTAGCCCAGACACTAAACTAAAGGACCAACAGTTGAAGCTGACCGCGCAATAGAGCTCGTCGAGATGTCGCTGGAGTTTGTTCCTCCAAATTTGTTCACCGTGGAACGTCCTACTGAATTATATCATTTCTGCGCCGACGCTATACGTTTTCAAAATTGATTCAGTGACACATTGTGCCATTTGTATTCCGTGACATGAATCCCACATTCATCGAGTGACGACAAAACGCAAACAGGCGATGTGCTCAGCCATCCCCTAACGAAATCGTGGTAGGCGGATGTACATGGATGTTGGTATGAGTATCATGGCGAGTCCACAGCTGTACGTTTTACCTTGTTGACAAAGTTGCTGTTTGAACTGATGCATTTCACTTGGGTAATCCTAAGGGGAAGCAAAACGCCTACCACAACTCCGTCAAGCGTGAACCCATATTACCGAGATGTAAACAACAAATGCATGACAATCGGATCCTGAAAGCTCTGGCAACATGAGACCACTCAGTGCCCATACCTGCCGCTGCGGTCAGCTTACAAGTACTGTAAAACTGAATTCCGCAGTCTAACTCGAGCCTCGACTCAAGTAGATTTGGGCTCTGTTGCAAGCTACATCCGTAGAGGACTGTCGGACCGCTGTGAAAGAGGGAACTGTGTTCTCCGAGTGTACCACTGAAGTGTCTGAAAGCTAAACCAATCAGGCCACCTTTGTTTGGAACAAATTCCTACTCTCCGGCTTTTCCAACGATTACAAAGCGTGCAAGTAGTGGAATGTTTAAAACGACGAAAACAAGCAAGAATCGGCATTTCAAAGAGCGGCTTGTAACCGCCACAAAGACCACTTTCGTGAGGCAGTGCCAGAAGCCAGCAGGTGAAGTACCAGCGCTCTAGGGGTCGGGCAGACAGCCCAAAACCTCCAGTACTGAGTGTGTATCCGTATTGGTGGCGCGGTTTGTTTCCGTGTTCCCAAACAACCAGATGACTATGCCGAGTTCGATGTGTACCACCCTTTACCGAACTTGACAGGCCGGATTGCAGTATTGAAAAGGTGCGTCAACTACTCGCCAACCTTGACGGCACCCAAGTCTGCTTGCCCTGACGGACTCCAGCCACTGATTCTCAAGTCCCTATCGGCCATCATCTCACCTGCTGTTACTGACCCGTTAAACAGGTCACTATCCGAAGGTTCATTGCCGAACTACTGGAAATGTTCAGTAGAGAAGCCGATTCCGAAACTCGGTGACCCCAGGTAAGTGGAGAGCCACAGACCATCGTGTATGACAACTGTTTTGCCGAGAAGACCTTAAAGGTTTTACTACGACCTCACTGATCAAACGATCTGCTGACGCCCGGTTTCATGCTAAGTCCTTCATGCATTACCAACCTGCTAGTGATGAAGCGTGAACTGAGGGAGGTCTGTCGGCGTAATTTACATCGGCTTCAGTAGAGTTCGACAAGATCTTGGTGTTTTGCGGCACCAGTTGGATACGGGACTTTCTCGTTGGATGGAAGTAGAGGGTACAGGTCCACGGTCATCTAACCGACTGGTATACCTCTACAAGTGGCGTACCCCAAAGCGCAGTGCTGGGGCCCACTCTGTTCCGAATCCACACTAACGATCTACATCAGCTCCTCGTGTTACCTTGTGTCCTGTTTGCGAACGACCCGAGGATTTGGAGAATGATGAGCACTACTGACGACTGTCACCTACTTTAGCAAGAACTCAACCGCCTCTCCATATGATCTGCAGTATCCCGCATCACGTCAACCCAGTCAAGTCGGTGGTTATGAGCCTGGGGAAGGGTGCTATGGGTCGAACCTACATCCTTGACAACCAACTGCTACATTCCACACACTCAGTGCAAGAATCGAATGTACTCTCGCTCTGCGATTTGAATTCCGTTGAAGATACGAACAGGGTACGTCCTACCGGACTGGGCATGCTTGGGGCGCTCAAATTCAGCTTTTGCACTTGGTCTGAAGTGGTTACCACTTGCCTCTTCTCCTCCATCCTATGACCGATAATGGAGTACCGTTCACCTGGCTATTGTACAGTCACTTGAGGCTAGGCACATAAAATCGAACGGGTCCAACACTTTTTTACCAGGCTCATCTCGAGTTTTCGCAGCCTGCCGTACGAATACTGTTGCGAGCAACTGTGACTCAACACCTTGTTTTATATCATTGGCCGCGGGTCGACCTAATCGTACGTAGCGTACCGCTTAGTAACTTCGCTATGCTGAGTGCGCTTCTCCACCTGCGAACGCCATGCACCCCACGCGGACCCCAGTACGAGCTTGTGGTGCCGCATCTGAAGCGAGCTCCCCAACCCCTGTGCTTCGTACGTCGAGTGGTAAATGTTTAGAACAGCCTGCTAGGATATATCATGGATTTACATATAGTCTTCATTGGATTCAGCGAACGATTGCACAATGACAGTGACCACTTACATTTGTGGGCTCAACGATACTGTAAGTCAGATACTTTTAGACGCTACATATTTGCTCCCATATCACAGCTTGAAAAAAGGTTAGAATATTAATTAACACGTGACCTAACTTCTATAACAGTTCTGGTCATATTTCGATGGGGTTGTACAACATTCGAAAGCCGCGATTGCGTTCACATTGCCTACACATTGCAAAATTCGATTTGCGTAAAAAACTGGTCATATTTAATTTCTGTTCGGACTTATGGCATAATACCAGTATAAGAGCTAATGTCTGGGAAGTTCCATAGAATGACCTATGTGAAAGAATTTTCCAATAAGGTAAACCGCGCACCTGCAGACTCACCATAGTATCCACTTTAACACGCATGTACACATCCGTCTACCCC